AGTCTTTCCTCCAACTCAGGCCACCTCGCCTTATGTCCGCGGAAACTCAGCTGCGTCTTCTTCACCTGTCGGAGTTCGTTTTCCATCTTCCTCCACTTGCGAACCATCGATTCATTTATCTTGAATTCTCTCGCGGCTGCTCGATTTCCATGTTCCTCTGCATAGCTGATAGCCTTCAGTTTCAACTGTGCTTCATAGGCGTGTCTCTTTGCCATTTTTAGGGTTTTCAAGACAACAATGTTCTGCTTAAAGCACATACCTGTTCTTTTATACACAAGCCATGACCACACTTCCCCCTTTAAGGTTCTCATGTTCTCTTATACACAAGCCACGCCCACACTTCTCCCTTTAACGTTCTCATGTTCTTTTATACACAAGCCATGCCCATACTTCCCCCTTTAACGTTCTCATGTTCTCATGGTGGTCTCAACAACGTCCGCAGATAGGGCGCAACGCACCATAGGGCGCGCCGCACATTTTGAGGAAAAAAACAAATGTTTATATGCGCCTTATAGTCGTGAAAGTACGGTAAATCATATTAATCCTAACCCACCTAAAAGAGAATTGGTATAGTCTGATTTAGTGTTAAATGGTGAGAGGTAAATGATTGTGTCTTTTCCATGTGTTTATCTGTCTGTGCGCATCAGCCTAATATAGTCCCACATCCCAGCAATTACAAACATGTCGTAATTGTTTACAGCCATTCCAGTGGAGGCAGTGAAGCAGAACCCTCACTTGGCCTTGCTCATTACCTGCCACGGGGGCCACATTGGCTTCCTGGAGGGTCTGTGGCCACGACAGAGCACTTACATGGACCGAGTCTTCAAGCAGTTTGCAAAGGCCGTCATTGAACAAGGCGGGCGACTCAAAGACCTCTCTTGATAAGACAACTTCAAGTGATCCTCATCTAATACATTTTTAGCTCCCCCCCTAGTTTCATCATTGTCTTCCATGTTTTTCCACTACTTTCCTTTTCCTGTTTCTTTCTTTTATTTAAACTTCTCATACATTCCCTTTTTTCCTTAACGGCAAATCCTACCCATAATTTTTGCCTCTTTGCCGTGTCTTTTTGCCATCTCTATCCTGCACTGGTCCATGTTTTTTCCCATTTAAAGGGCCTATTACTGAACGCAGCTCTCCTGTAGCGTTTAACATTCAAATCTTTTAAAAATGGTTAAAGAATTTCACAAATCTTTAACTCAACAAACTCAACAATAAGTGTCTCTGCTCATGTGAGCGCTGAAATGTTGAATCTTGTTTATACCCCTGTGAGGTCTTCTTTTCCATCCAGTAAACAGTACTGTCTAATTTATGTAACTTTATGTAGTTTTTAGCACACACATCAGTAGGATTATAGCCCTCAGGGATAGCCTTTGTTTCTTTTCCTCTTTCTTTCTGTTAAATGTCACTTTTGTCAGTGTGCTTCCTTCATTTTGTATATCCTAGATGTTCATAATCTGTTAACAAAGCATAATATTATTCCTTTTGAGTTCTAACTGGAGGTGTGGATTACACTTGTGTGTTTTTGGGGGGTTGAATCCATGTGCTATCAAATATGAAGCTGCTGTCAGCAGACATTTAGCTCTAAGGACTGAAAGCAGAGGTAAGCAGGAGTTCTGGGTTTGTGTGCCTGTAAAATATCTGGCATCTCTTGATATATAATTTGGCAGTAAAAAGGGAATCTTTGATTTAAACTTTCAAAGACCCATTTTCTGTCTTTTTTTGTAGTCAGGGTGGGTTTCTGGAACCAGACATTTACCCCTTCTAATTTAAAGCATCTATCAGGATAAAATCCAATAATCAGAGTAGATGTCTTCCCCAGAACACTCTCTGCAGGAAAGTAGAACTCTGTGAAATTACCCTGGACTTTGGTTGGCTTTAGGAAACATAAGAGTGGAAAAAATGTGTTTTTTTATTTATTTTGTCTCATTGATATCCCTAGTATAAATCCCTTGTATTTTAATCCATTTAAAGTCTGCTCATCTCATTCAATATCAAAAAGTTTGTAGGTTTCTATACAAAAAAAAAAAGATTAAAATCAGCTAACTGAAACTAAGGTATAAATTAGGTGTGAAATAATTATTTAGATTAATCATGATTAATTGATCATTGAAATAATCAACTAATTTAGTAATCAATTCATCGTTAACTGGAGTATAGCAACTGTAAAACATGCCTTTAGCTGAGAGCGTGACCCACTTAGAGCAGTAATTATATCAAATTGTAAAAAAATATATTAACATTTTGCATTTAAATAAATGTTTTGGTCTATCAATGTGCTCAATCCAGAACTCCTCAAGTGGAAAGGTTTTAGTTTCACCCGGTTTAATTTAGTAAAAAAAATCATCTTTAAGGAACCTTTGGCTATCTAATTATTAATCTGTTAGTAGAAAAAATAATCAACAGATTAATCGATTTGCAAATAACCATTAGATTAATTCATTTTTGTTGCTTCTATCAGGTTTTCTAGATCGACCTTTTTGTCTGTCACACCTGATCAAGCCCACTGTCAAAGACAGGACTATAAGACATGTTTTCTAGGTCACTTATGTACGTCTAATTCTCGTCCCCTGATGATACAGAATGAAATGTCAAACAACGCATTTTTTCCTAATGTCAACCTTCAGGGGACGCTTAATACACACAAAAAAGTATGTATTAATGTATAAAATATATGAAGATGTGCAGTTCTCAACTTCATCAAGTTGCTTATCATCCCTGAGTAAATCCTCCACCTCCATTCATTTGAACTCTTCCATCCCTGCCTCATGTGATTTTGATTTCATTTGCAGAAAACAAATGAGTATTACACAAAGACAATCTGGATAAAGCATAAAAATGTGTCTCTGGGGCCTCATTTTAGAGCAGTGTTTCCCAAAGATTTTCTTCTGGGCCCCCCTTTGGATTACAATAAAATTTCCACGCCCCCCCCC